GAATCCCGGATTCCTTCATAAGCATCAGCAAGCAGCAGCCAACAATCTCCACCACAATCCTTCATCATGTCAGGACTCTAGTGTAAATGCATAGATTCTTCAAAGTGTGTTTAAATTATTATTCCATTCAATTACTCCTTCACGAAGGGCAAGAAGCACAGTGGAAGGCAGTTCATGAAGTCACCATCAAAACAGAACATACATGACATTGCCTTTGATCAAACAAAATGACAGCCAAATATGACAAAGGAAGTAGTTGGTACCACATCTTAAATTACCTGCAGCACCAAAGAGATATAGATATAGACATATATGTAGATGTAGATAGATATAGACAACGATAATATATGCAGGAGGAAGTATTTTCTTCTTACTGATCACCCACACAGAAGTGTGTGTGTGTGTGTGTGTGTGTGTGTGTGTGTGTGTGTGTGTGTGTGTGTGCCTGGTCCGTTACATGGGAAATCTTTGTTTACTTCCCTTATCAGCAGTCTCAGGTGACTGGCATGCATGGGGAAGTGAATCCCAGTATTTTTTATTCTGTAATAAATTTGAAAGTGTCTCAGTTTGCCATAGTGCACAGAGGGAATGACAGGAATGGCCTAGAGCTACTGATGGGACCTATGGGAAGGTCCTAATATAAAAGATAATGAAGAACAAACAAGAAAGAAATTCACACAAAATACAATTCAGTACTTGGGAAAGCTCACGTAGACAAATGCCATGACAGCTGCTCTAAATGGTGCTAGAGCTACCATGATACTCTTTCAGGTTTTCACAATTTGGCAAAATGTCACCTGAGAAAACAGAATTAGATACTAATAGAAAATAGAGCACTCGAATTCTCTGCTCTCCTACTGATAAACAGCAACACAGAGAAGAGACAAACAAAACAAGTATCTTTATATGCCCACAGTGAATCTAGAATATTCTATACCTTAGAAAATCAAACCTACTCCAAGAAGCCAAAACAGCCTATACTCATACCACTTTGAACAAATTTGAGTAAATCATGGAGATGGGAATTGTATGGGCACTAAAAGAAAACCTCTTCAGTGCTGTGCCCTAAATCCTAATAATGAAAGGATAATGAACAAAATTACAGTTGATTAAGTACTTAACTTCAATTTTCTTTTTATATCATTCAAAACATTACCTCTCAATTCTAATTTCCTTTTCATAAAAAATAATTTTTCCTAATTTTACAAATTCATAGTGAATACACAGAAAATTTACACTTTTGAGAGAATTTTACCCATGGCAGAGACAAGGCAATGAAAACTATGGTTTTGAAGCTTAATGAGCCTGAACACCACCTGGAAGAAAGAACTGTAAAATGCAGATACCCAGACCCTGAGCCCTACTTCCCTAAACTGGGAAGCTGCAGTTTAAACATACATCCATGGATTTTTCACAAAACAAGGCATTTTTTTAGAGAAACTTTATTATTTAGGAGAATTGGGTTTTTTTGTTTGTTTTTTGGCTAAAAAACAAAACAAGTGTCAAAATCCTTAATCAGAGTAACTGCCAGAAATAGTTGAAAACACTCCAGGATGATTAAATCAGAATCAAATTTCAGAGCCATGGAAAAGAGCCATACAACCAACTACCTCACTATCCCTCAGTTTGAATAACGCATTCAACAATACCTGTGACTCTAGGTACTGTGAGTCTGGATTATTAATCACATATTGTATAGCCACAACTTAAAATGGGTTCCTTAGTCTACTCAAAAATTTAAAATTAATTATGTATATATATTTTAAGTATTTTTTAACAAATAAAACACAAATTGATTGCTCTTTTTAAAAGTCTTTTTGTAAAGACAAAGCCTCACTAGATTTACCAGGCTGATCTCAAATCCCTGACCTCATAGCAATCCTCCTGACTCAGTCTCCCAAAGTGTTGAGATCACAGGCATAAGCCACCATGCCCAACCTAAAACACTACTTTAAAAGCTATTTCAGTCTGTGGTATATTGTCCTATTTAGCATTTTTCTATCTGGAAATTGATGTCAATAGCATGATATAAAATTGCCTAAAAGGTATTTTACTTATTAATGTTCAAAACTGTTTTCTCAAGTTAAAATATTCTAGGAAATGTAGCTCTATCAAATTTTCACAGGAATATAAATCTAAAACATAGCTTATTAATAATTCCATGGCTTTAATAAGCAACTATTTCAGAAGATCAGACATAGTTTACCTTAGTTTTGGTTTTTGTGTGTGGTCTAAAAGTTAATTGTGTTGACAGAAGAGTACACTACTTTCTTTTTTTTTTTTTAATCAACTACTTTTACTAAAACATTTGCATAACATGGAAGAACTACACAAAGAAACCTTTAGCACATTCAGTAAGTATACATAAAATGAAGCATACAAAATTTAGAATTTAACTGCTCAAATCAAATTATAGGAAGCCTTGAAGCAAAAAGATGCCATCATGTAGACAGTACGGCAAAGTATCCATGGAAAGAAATTAGGTCTTCTATTACAATGAAGTTGACATTCAGATTGTGTTTATAACCATAACATAATTCTTACTAATAATGTAATCAAAGCTGTCTAATTTTATTCTGATATGGAAAGGAACTAAGTCATTAAGAATTAACTGTTCTAAAAATGCACATTTAACACCTAAAATCAGAGAAAGTGGAAAAGTTAGCTACTTTCCCAGATACAATAGGAGAAAAACAATGAGTTGACTATCTGATCTTTATGGAAAGAAAAATCTAAGTTTAACTTCTGGATCACAATGAGATATTTTAAACAAAAAGTGGAGTCTAAATTCCCTACCAGGCAGAACTGCGAATTCTCCATTCCCCTCTTCTTAGAACACTTTCTTTTATAAATCAATGGTGGCCAGGCTCATTAATTTTTTTAATAGCATTTATGTACATACATTTTCAAAATTCTGAAAAACAGAAACTGTTTCATTTAGGTCTTACCTAGTGTAGAATCAACTTCACAGTGCAACAAATATTAGTGAGACATCAATATGAATACAAAAGCAAGACTACAAATTGATGTTTTCTTTTGGAGAATCTTTTAGAACAATTTCAAACATAGTATAAGGAAGCTGGAATGAGTAAGAAAAAAAAATCATATTTCATTTCACCATAAACTCTAAGCCATAATATTTAAAATGCGCTTCGAAATACTTAGCCAGATCACCAATACCCAGTCACTAACTTAGTTTAAATGTTCACTAAGAAATGAGTCAAACAACAGAAATCTGTTGTGAGTACCATCTAAATAGAACAGCTAGCCGGGCATGGTGGCTCATAACTGTAATGCCAGCACTTTGGGAGGTGAAGACAAGAGGACTGCCTGAGTCCAAGGGTTCAAGACCAGCCTGGGCAACTTGGTGAGACATTGTCTCTACAATATATAAAAAAATTAGCCGGACATGATAGCACACACCTGTAGTTCCAGCTACTCGGAAGGCTGAGGCAGGATTGCTTGAGCCTAGCGGGCCAAGGCTGCAGTGCACTCCAGCTTGGGCAACAGAGTGAAACTCCAACTCCAAAAAAAAAAAAAAAAGAGAACAGCTACACTGTTGTGTATAATTTATTAGCTCAAGTCATTTAGTCTCTCAATATTTAGTAAGTATATTTAAAAATTAATATTCCCAGTGATTTATAGTGATATTAACATAAATGCATAATTTCAAAGTCAACATTCCTTTCACTGTGAACATAAAACTTCTTAAATAATAGTTGTGGGCTGGTGTACAATAGTGACTGTGGCTGCTGGGATAGCAATGTTCAACGCTAAAAAGAAAAAAAAACTGGTAGGCTTGGAAAGGCATACATTACAAATACACACTCTCAGCATGTTACCATTTTCCACATTTTTGCTGTACATACTTGTCTCATAATATGGTATAAATTATTCCCTCAAATTTGAAAAAACAATTAAGATGAATACATTTGCATCTTCATTCCAAAATAACCCTTTTAAATGAAAAAGTTATTCGTGTTTGTTAAATCTGATCACAGCATATACAATATTTTTTACCTTATCTTAGTGTCTCATTAAATCAGTGTGGCAATAAGACCTCCAGTACTTCATCAAAAACGGCATTTGATAAATAAGATTGTTAAATTTGCAATTGAATCCTTCTTAAGACACTGAACTATAACAAAGGCCAAAAATTGACCATTCATCAACACCCTTGGAACCTGTGAAGTATTGTAAATAATCTCACATGTGCATATAATTCAAACCTAAACTTTGTGGGAAGAGGGTAATAAAATAAATACGCCAATATTTCTTCAACTCTATTTAATGCTGCCTAGATGGTTAGATGAAAAATTATTACCAACAGGAAGAGTCAAGCTAGTTTAAGGATTGCTTTCTGAGTAGTTAAAACAATTTTGCAAAACAGAGATAAGCAAGAGCCTACAGTAATATGCAATATCATTGCTGTAGTGTAATATCATTGCTAATGTGAGGTATAATCTGTAAGCAAATAATACAAATATAAATAGGTATAAGCTACCACTAAACCACAGTCTGGTGAAAAGTGTCTCAGTTATAGTTTGAGGAGAGGGTAAAGAGAAATGAGAAAGGCAGAAGGGACAGGTTTCCAATGGGAACATCATTTACATGCCTTATCAGCTCATATGTGTCATTCCACTGTGGCAAAAAAGTAAAACCTTCCCAAGTATGCTAGCCTCAAATATACTTCACGTAGTACAGTAAGATTATTTAAGTATTACTAATGTGTTTGCATTTACATTGATATGCACATAATCATATATGCATACCAAATACCATAACAGAATTTTAAAACACTTTTATCTCATTTTGGGAAAGTTAACAGATAAGATGGAATTATGTACTATAGAATTTTCTAGAATATCCAAACTCAGGTAAAACCAAAGGAAAACAAGACTACCTCTATAGTAGGGCTTGTGAGAAACATCAAGCTCATTCATTTTTTATACATGGTTTTGTTTGATGAAGATTGTGATCCAAAGATTGTTTAGCAGCAGTTTTACCAAACTGTAAATTCTTTTATTAACAGGCATTATAAACAGATAATACTAATCTTATTTTAAAATGAGTGCCACACCAGTTAATTCATGCCATACAGCTCATGAATTAAAAAGTATTTCCCATTTTAAAAGGCAAACACAGCATACAAAAACCTATACTACACAAAGAAGCTATAATATGAATACATGATTGATGTGTCTAAAATGATATACATACAGTACATAATTCAAGTTAATCATGTGACCAGTACATTTTTCTATATGATTCCCTTCATGCTTCACTTTCCCCAGAAACTGAATTCTGAACTTCTTCCTCTAAAATGGGTACAATCAGGTTATCCTTGGACATCAAATTATACTTCATCACAAATTTAGTAAACCGGTGACACAGAAACGTTTCGTTTACATATTCATCAAATATCTGCCGGTGATGAAAATAAGCATGTGAAAATATTCTGTAAATCCTATGGCATACTGATCCTAGTTTTGCTACTGATGATTTCTTTATGCTAACCCTGCTGGGGAAATACTTATTGCTATTCAGAAGACATGAAGCACCATCAAGTGTATATCTAGTATAGTCTATAGCAGGACACTCTTTTGGAGTTTTATGAGCTGCACAAAGAAAAATCCATTGTTCAGTTGCTGTCATTTGAGTACAAGTATCTGGATGGCATTCACTCTGAAGTTTGACAGCGAGTCCATTTAGCTCAAGGCAGAATTGCCTTAAATGTTCACACTTCCATACACCTTCATCTTGGCCTTCAGTGGTTCAAGAATTTTGTCAATATTGGAGCCATCTGCTCTAATGTTCTGTTGAATATACTGCTGAATAGCTAGTGTACTGTCCATTTCATCAAAGGGTTCATCAGGCCAATTATAAAAATCCTGTGCCTTGGTGCCCGGCCTGTTCCGCCTCAGCACTGCCGTCCCCTCCGCCATGACCATAGTGCCAGCGTCTGGGCGGCTAGAGTCAGTACCAAGTACACTACTTTCAGTTGCTGAATAAAAGATTACCCCATATACCTGACCCTGAATTATACCCCACATTTTTAAAATAAAAAAAAGATTACCCCAAAGATCTAAACAACATCAACCACCTTCACGTAATTGATTTTTGTCATCATCCAACGACTGCAGAGTACACGTCATTTCAAGCACAAATAGAAGTCCACCAAAAATGTCACATGCTGAACCATAAGAGAAATCTCCATACATTTTCAAAGACTCATTTAAAATCATATTGCTGAACATTTACACCTCGATATTCTGACTCAAAATGTCAACTCGGTATCTATGTGGTCCAGAGGTGCAGGGAGGAAGGATGAAAAACAGTCATGGATGCTCCACAAACCCTAAGGCCTCACTGCATCCTGCAGATCAAAAATGAATCCATTTACTTCAGTGTTCTCAGGAACACTGAGACAGTGCACAGCCCCATAAATCCCACTCCTACAATGACGCTGCTTCCACAGCAGATTATGCCAAGCCACATCTCCTTGCCAACACCAAGCATCTCCCAGAAGCTGTGCATAAGATTCTCACTTGCTCTATGACAGGCACAAAGAGTCAAAGTGACAGGCACATAATCAAAGTTTTAAGCCGGGTGGCTCCTCCTGGAGGGAAGACCTAAGTCTGTGAAAGGAAACAGGAAACATGATGGAGAAATAGGCATGCCAATTCCAGCTGCTCAGAGAATAGAGGATCACTGAGGATAGTGCAGACACCCACCTCAGCTTTCTCCACGGTGAGCTCAGTGTCCAAAACACGCAGTACAAGAGCATACACAAACTCATAAAAGACCGCAGATGTACACAGCCATGTCGGCATAGCTATGGTTAGCAGATGCGGACGTATATTTACGCTTGACTCCCAGGGGAAAAGGAAGCTATATTCGAGTCTTTTCATTGAAAAGAAAAAGGCTGACCAGGCGCGGTGGTTCAAGCTTGTAATCCCAGGACTTTGGGGAGCCAAGGCAAGAGGATTGCTTGAGCACGTGGGTTTGAGACCAGCCTGGGCCACATGGTGAGACCTCATTTCTACAATAAATCAAAAAATTAGCCAAACCTGGTAGCACCTGCCTATAGTTCTGGCTACTTGGAATTACTGGTTACTCGGTAGAAGGATCGCCTGAGCCCAGCAGGTCAACCTGGGGTGGCTGTGAGCATGCCACTGCAATCCAGCCTGGGCAATGGAGTGAGACTCCAACTCTTGAAAAAGAAAAGAAAAGAAAAAAAACCATGTGTCTCTATCTGAAGAAAGAAAAGGTTCAGGATGAAAAGCATACTCAACAACTTGGGTGTCAATGGGATCACAGGTGATTATTTCCATCTTTATATGCTTCTGCATTTTCCACTTAGTCATCATAAGGAGTTGGGCTATTTTTATGTTAAAAAAAACAGCAAGAAAAAAAAGGAGAGGAGGAAAAAATAAAAGAGAAGAAGAAAATATTGAAAGATTAATAAAACATTAATTCATCTCTTTCTAAAATGACAGTTGGGAAAAGGCACCTGTTTAAATTTTTCATAACCTCTGTAGTTGCTTTGGAACTAAACCACACAATAAACTGACTATAACTTCACTCTCTGAAGGCACTCTTTTATGTGGATTGCAGAGAATAATTCAGATACCCTATAGTTGGCTCACTGAAAAGCCCAAAAAAAAGAAATGGCACCAAGAACAACAGCATCAAATTATAAATAGGCAGGAATATTCTGCATTTTTTTGGACACAGTGTATTCCTGGCCCACAGTAGCCACATGGGACAAACTTCACCATAGCTGGTGCTAGTGAATCAACTCTCTCTAAATTTATACAATATTTGGTATCAGAATTTTTTTTTATTTTCCTTGTGAGTTCAAGAAAACATGCAAGTTAATCAGTCAACTCTGAGACAGGCAAGATGGTAACTGTCGGAATGGAGGCATCCATAAGACACAAGAATGAATGGAAGAGTAAAGCCAAGGGCCAGTGACTAGAGAGTGCCCCAGAAGAAACCAGAATGAGAACCTGGGCATTACCATCCTCCAACCTTATGGTATAAACTGGCTGGCTTAATACCCTGTGCTATTACAGTGATGTTTTATGAAAAAGTCGATCGGGCAGCTGCCTCAGTACAGCCAAGATGATGCAATCGTGCATGTGGCTGTGAACTCTTCTGCAATTCCTTATAAGTCAAACACAAAAGGTGTAGTCAAATGGCTCCAGCAGCCTGCTCCAGTTCTAACATCTCATCGCAATAAAGTTGCTGACTTTTTATATGCAGAGCCAAACATTTGTCTCACATTTTTTAAATGTTCAGAGTCTCTCCTCCACCTCCTCCTCACTCCCTCCAAGATTACAGAAAAAGGTAGAGGAGAGGGGAAGTCACACTGAAGTGCCATCGGCAACCATGTTCACGACGCCAAAATCACAGACTACACTAGAGATGGTGTTACTGTGTAAAAGTACCCCCGGAGTGACAATGGAGAAAAGTCTGGCTTTCTGAGAGTCAGGCACACCACAAGGGAGGATACCTGGGACGCATGCGCTCATCTGGCAGCAAGCCAGCGCAGTGCCCAGGCCTGCTGTCGGGGTTGGTCATGGCTGGGTCAGCAATGGGACCAGAACTCAGAAGCCTTCTGTACCTTACAACACAGTGACCATACTGATGGGCCTGAGTTGTCAAGATGGTGTGTTTAGTCAAAATAAGAGGGTAAAATGGGACAGAAAACTGAAAGTTCCATTTAAAAAGCTACAATTTATTTATTTTAAGTCAGAATCTCTCTCTGCTGCCCAGGCTGGAATATAGTGGCTCACTCATGGGTACCGCAGCCTCAACTTTCTGGACTCAGATGATCCTTCTTCCTCAGTCTCCTGATTAGCTGGGAATTGTACAGACGGATCTCACCAAGTTACCCAGGTCAGTCTCAAACCATGGGCTCAGACAATCCTCTCACTTCCAATTCCCAAAGTGATGGGATTACAGGCATGAGCCACCACACCCAACCACAATTTTAAAATTCCAAAACTTAGTATTAAGTCCCAGGTATCAAGAAAATCATTGTACTCTGGCATTCAGGGTCATGAAGATCCATGACACTTATCATGAAATCAAATGTACCAGTGTGAATAGCCCAAGCATTCTTTAAAATTATGTGCCTAAAACAGAAAAAAAAAGAATCCCACCTACCCACCCTGCCTCCAAGTCCTCAAAAAAATGCATTCAGAGCAGCTTCCCCAGGACTTGAACTCACTCTGTCTTTGTCATCTGCTACATCACAGAGAATGTCATCAAGGTCAAGTATCCCCCCATCTCCATGCTCCAAGCGATGCACCTGTATCCAGTAGTTTGGATCCTATACAAAAGAACAGAAATATTGAATATAGAAAGTTAGCACCACCAAAAAGGAATTTGATCATTTAAACTGCGATAACTTCCTCCCCATAAAAATTGACCATACAAGCAATATCGTAATTGAAAAATGCAGGTAGCTCCCCTATGTTTGTCATTGAGTTAATTTTCTTTTTCTTTTACAATGGAGTGACTCATGCACACTCTTCCCATTGGCTCAGATGCTGATACACCATTATCATAGGAACTGCAGAAACCAGCAAAACTCACCGCATAAGAAATATTGATTTCACTAAAGTATATTAGGTTTCTCATTGCCCAATATATGAAATGTTTATTAATCCCTTCACTGAAGTCTACAGAAACACTCTAAGAAGCAGCAGCATATATTACATATCTAAAAAACTCAATTTTTGCTTATCTGCAAAAAGTAGGTCACACATTCTGGTGGCTCAAAAAGCTCCTTACAGTGAAGACACTGGCACAGAAGGATGTTGACAAGACCATAAGTGAACAAAGCAGGCTCAGAACACTATGTGTGTTTTGAGCTTCTATTTATAAAGACAAAATTACATACACATGTATATACGAGTGGGGCCCAAGAAAACCCAGAATTTACTTATAAATAATTGTGTAATTATTCTTACATGTTTAAACTTCAGTCACCTTCAAAGTACTCTCCACTTGATACTATACACCTATTGAGATACTTTTTCCACTGCTCAAAACAGTTGTGGAACTCATCGATTTTGATACCTTTTAAGTGCTTCTGTCATTTTTTGTTTCACCTCTTCCACACTGGTAAAATGTTTTCCTTTGAGAATTTTTTTCATCCAGGGAAACAAACAACAAACAAAAAAAGTTGCTTGGGTTGAAATTGGAAGAATAAGGAGGATGGGGCACAGGAGTCATGCTGTTTTTGGTCAAAAACAGCTGAACACTAGTTTGGGCAGGTTTGTTGTCATGGTGAAAGAATTTTGTGGTCACCTGTTTGACACACACACATACACACACACACACACAAAATTTCACTGAAGCCAAATGCAGCCTCTCACAACAAAACTGGTACACTAATGCTGATGGGTTCCTAGCACATTTACCTAGCGGAGGAAGGCTGTACTGCAAGGGGCCTACCCTTCAAAAGCTAATTCTGGATTTTTGCCCCCACCCCACTCCCCGTGTATATACTTAAATGTCTCAAAAACACACACTGAAAGTTTCAGTAGTTATAGGTGGAAAGTAGGATTGGGGGAAGGGAGAAAAAGGACATCATTTTAAATTTTATACATTTCTATACAGTATGCATTAAAAAACCTTCAAATCCTGCTTTCAAATTATTTGAAGAAGGAACCTAGCTGTTTGTTTCTGAGTGTTCACAAGCATCCTCACTTGTATACTCAAATGAAATATATACTCAATTAGCTACTGCACTCTCTGCAACAAAAAACTCCTATCCACAAGTTCAATTCAAGTTAATACTCCATTTTTCCAACCTAAAAACTAATGTTTGATACAGTCCTTTCTTGAAGCAAAGCTAGGAAGATGGACCCTCCCTCAGACATACAAACTAAGACACATGGGGGGGTTATATATTCTAAAGAAACTCTCCAATAAACCTCTACCAAAAAGGGGGGACATGCCTAAAAACCACTCAAATGGAACACTTCTTATTTTAAAATAAAATGCAGAATTACCAATCCTGGGCACTTTTTAACCAGCACAGCAAGCAGTTCCGACCTTAATCCTCAAAGTTTTATTAAACATTACCAAGAAACTACTATGCAAATAACATACAATTACTCTGCACCCCTCATTTGTCTGGACCTCTATAAAAGGAATCTTTCATCCAGAACACCAAGAATCAGTTTGTAAAGCATACACACACACACACACACACACACACACACACACACACATATCCCTTGGCATCACTTCCTTTGTAAGTCCTAGCTGACCAAGCATCAATACCTTGAGTACAATGTCACCCAGGGAGTCCTTAGGAAACTTGCCACTGTGAGAGTTTCAGAATGTGTCATTTCTAGATTTGTTGAACCACTGAAAAAAAAGTCTCAAGGCAAGCTATAGTCCTAGTCTTCCTCACCAAATGGTATTAAGTCCCCAAGGGAAACTGAAAATGACTAATATCCTGGGTGAATAAGGAAGAAGTACCCCTTGCTGTCATTCCCGACCACTTAGAACAGCCACAGCCTGCTCTCTCCTTCCCACCAAGCAAGCTCCAGGGTGACCTAATCAATTTAAATATCAGCTTTCATTCCTAAAACACTTCCACGCACGCATAAGCAAACCGACCTCCAAAATGTGGCTTGCAAAAACTATTCTTTAAGCTTCCTAGTCCTGTCACTCTCTCCAGATGAGATCATAACCTGCAGCCTTTAGAGAACATAACATTGGGAGCCACACTTTCTAAATGAATTCCCACCAAAAGACTGTCTCAGACTTCTATCTTCATCCCTCAGAGCTTGCTGCATTCCAGCCTTTCCTAGCACAACCCTTTCCACAGTTGTAGGAAGCTCTGCACCACCATACCCCTACTTGTGCCCAGGGTTTCCAATGCCTGGACTCCACCTTAACCTCCAGGCCAACCTAGCCTGTCCAACCATCAAGACTCCTCAGGCACCCTCCCCTCCAAGAGCTCCTCCAGACCCCCACACCCCTATTCAGATTACACATCTTTCTCCAGCCTATTGTTAATGTATGGAAAATCATGGTCAGGTGGGTGTCAAGCTTGAACCTTTATAGACTATAAATGCTTTATTTTTATATATGCAGGACAAAACCTTTTATTGATCCTACTTTACCTTCAAGTTACTATACCAATTTCTGATACTCCTCACAGCAAAGCTCTTTAAAGAATCATTTACACTTGTTGCTCCAGGTGTCTCCTCCCAAAACTCCATTCCAATCATATTTCCTCACCTCCCACCTCCACCCACTCCCAAAACCGTACATCACTTCACAAATAGCCTCCATGTTGCCCCATACAAAAGTCCATTCTCAATCCTCATCCCACTTGATCTATCAGCAGAATTTGATACCAGTGATCACTCTCCTCTCTTTGAAATACTCTGTAAACTTGGTTTATAATCCTCCATCTGACTGATCAAGGCTTTTCTAATTTTGAGGCTCAAGTGTTGACTCCTGCCTCCAGAGGGGGACTGACTCTATAGTCAGCTATGATATGCAAATACCAGCTGCCACGGACTAAATGCCACTCCATAAAAATGTGCTAGATGGAGAGGACCTTTTGAAGAGAGGGAACTGAGAAGGAGGTCATCAGTAATCCCAGCAGAGCATGCTACATTAAAAAAAAGAAAAATCAGCCGAGTTCGGTGTCTCAGCCTGTAATCCCGCGCCTTTGGGAGACTGAGGTGAGTGGATTGCCTGAGCCCGCGGGTTCGAGACCCACCTGGGCAGCAAGTCCTCATCTCTACAATAAATCAAAAAATCAGCCGGGCATGGTAGCGTGTGCCTGTAATTCCGGCTACTCGGAAGGCTGAGGCGGAAGGATCGCCAGAGCCCAGCAGGTCGAGGCTGCGGTGGCCAGGAGTGGCCACTGCACTCCAGTCTGGGCGACAGAGTGAGACTCCAACTCAAAAAAAAAAAAGAAGTTAAATTTAGTTGAATAAACCGGGCTCGGTGGCTCAGCCTGTAATCCCACACCTTTGGGAGGCTGAGGTGAGTGGATTGCCTGAGCCCGCGAGTTCGAGACCCTCCTGGGCAGCAAGACCTCATCTCTACAATAAATCTAAAATCAGCCAGGCATGGTAGCGCATGCCTGTAATTCCGGCTACTCGGAAGGCTGAGGCGGAAGGATCGCCGGAGCCCAGCAGGGCGAGGCTGCAGTGGCCGGCAGCGGCCACTGCACTCCAGTATGGGAGACCGAGTGAGACTCCAACTCAAAAAAAAAAAATGACCTCCTCCTTCTGGAGTACAAAAACCAGGATGGATATTTTTGCCACTGAGAAATAAAACTCCTTGAAACAGTAGTCTCTTGGGAGATTTTAACTGGCAGCTTTCATCAACATAATTCTCTCTCAATAAACAGAGGACTCGCTGTATTTTCAAGGGAATAGTCAAGTATCCAATAGGGGAAAAGTTGGCACATACTTACTGATTCTACTCTGTGGTAGTTTGCATTTAAAAGTTTAAAATAATAATAGTATAAATCATTACTACCCTGTCTATAAAAACTTAGAAATGTAGCTGAACAAAAGTTCTAATAAGCCACTTTTTTTTATATTAATAAAAACTAATTCTACAATAACCATAGTAGTCATTGAGCTAAAAAAAAAAAGTGACACAATACTCAATTTTAAACAAAGAAAAACAACAGAATGTTGATTGTCTAAAATATGTCAATTTAAAATATCCAAATATTTAAATACCAATAATAATTTTACATTATGCCTACCAAAAATCCATCACACATGCACAATATTCATCCAGGAAGAACACAATATTCATCCAGGTGAACGTACAGGTCTAGCAAGGCTCCCCACGAAAGGGTCAAATACCAGAGAATACTAGAGACAAAACCCTATAAAGAATCACTGCTTTGGCCAGTCACAGTAGATCAGTCTGTAATCCAACAATTTGGAAGGCCAAGGCGAGAGTATTACCTGAGCCCGGGGGTTCGAGACCAGCCTGACCAACTTGGTGAGACCTCGTCTCCACAATAAATCACAAAAAGTTAGCTGGGCGTGGTGGCATGTGTCTGTAGTTCCAGCTACTTGGAAAACTGAGATGGAAGGATCGCCTAAGCCCAGCAGGTCGAGGTTGCAGTGGCCATGAGCATGCCACTGCACTCCAGCCTGGGTGATGGAATAAGACTTCAACTCAAAAAAAAAAAAATCACTGCTTCTTAGCCAGATAAAGAATATAAGTTGGGTCCCAGCCTAGCACTGGAGGAACAGGGTTAGAGGAAACAGTTCCTAAGACCAACTCATAATGCAAAATCAGGGAATATTACAAGATGCAAGTTGC